AAAAAAAAAAAAAAAAAAATACAGCCAAACACTAGTTGCACATTTTCAGTTTGCTGTTTTATGGTTTTGCATTAATGTCAATGAGAATTATGTGCAAAAGACAAGCAGACACTTAGACTTCTTTTTAAACCAAACATAGCAGAAAGCAAACCAAACACCTACCTTTTCTTCTTGATAGATGAAGACCAAATGTTGTCCTGCATCTCCTTACATTTTGAAGCCTGTTGAAGTTGGTAAATTGCATTTTTGAGAATTGTTCTGTTAAAAAAATTAAAGTGAAAAGCTTCAAAAGATAGAAACCACTCTTAGCATCCCCACAGTTAATTTGATGTGACAATGAGATTAATAACTGCCACAGATTCTGGAAAAATATTACCCATGAAGTCTGAATCACTTCTATTGTGAGGTTTCTCTGCAGAAGGGGAGGTTGTTGTTCTCACCAGCAACAAATTTGCTTTAACATAATCTCAGTTCATACCATCAATTAACTTGTGCCAATTCCAATGTAAATCAGAAATGTAATTAAAAAAAATAAATGGGACTCAGAAGCAGCTTGAACATTACATTTTGAAGATTAAAATATTTTTACAATAAATATTTAACAGAGGGTGGTTTTCCAAAGCTGTTGCTAAAATGCAATATTCAGGAACAGCCTACAATTCAAAGAAAACTGGGTAACTTGGGAAGGCTACGTAACTGGATGTAGAAACTTTCACCTGTAGGTCACTAGTTTTTAATCTAGTGACCCAAGATTAGTATTTGCCCCTTGTTTTCCTCTTTGTTTTATAGGATAAGATGATGCATAAAGAAAATGTAGTCACATGAACAACATTTAGTCACCTTAAATAACTTATCTCCCCTCCCCCCGCCCCAAACTTCTAAGTAAGCCTCTTGCTCCCCTGTTCCTGATAGAAGACAGACCTTTTGGTTACTAAACCTCTTTGGGTACGGCTACACTGCGTTTTAACACCCATGAAGTGAGTCTCAGACATAGATGCTGGAACTAGGTGCTGAATCCCCAGCACCCCATCCCTGGCTTGAAGTGGTTTCCATCATATACATGGTTTACAGTTTTATTCAATGACTTTCAGCACCCCCACTATAAAAATTGTTCCAGCACCTATGATCTCAGAGCCTGGGCCTTAAGACTCAGACTCACACTATGGCACTAAAAACAGCTGCACAGACTAAAAATCACCCCTGACTTCAGAGCCCAAGTTCCGGCCCATTCCCAAATGTCTACACAAGCTGTTTTTAATACCATAGCTGTAGACCCGGGCTCTGAGACTCACTGTCATGGGTTTTCAAACGCAGTATAGACGTACTCTTAGATTGAGAATATCTTCTATCTCTCTCAAATTCTCTCTGGTATCCATGTTTTATATCAGACAATATCCTCTTTTTATCATCTCTTGCAACAGTTTTCTTCCCTCTGACATGAGGTTTTTTGCTCCACTGACCATAATTTCTCATTCTCTGCACCCACTCTTCCACTTCACTGATTCAGTAGGAGCCCACCAACATCTTCATACACTCAACTGACCAACATTAAGTTAACAGGCTTTTTTATCCAAACACTTCAAAACCATCTGACTCTCTAAATTCACCTTCTGGCATGCTGGACCCTAAATTATCCCCTTTAATGATCCTAAACATGTTTGCTAGACCTAGGTGAAGATATTCCTATTCCAGCATAGAAAACCAGCCTAAACAATAACTTCTTAAAGAGTTCCCTTCTGTCACAGGAAAGGCCAAGACCCTGTCTCAATAGGCAACTGGACGGAGAAAGTATCCTCTGTTCTTATTGATATTGTATGAATTAATTATATGAACACTGCAGTGCATACATACTCATATTCTAGCAATTAGGATGCCAAGGGCTTTGTACATTTCTGCCTCAAGGCTGATGAGCCAGGAGTGCTGATGTTGTCCCTGCACCTGTGTCACCATCACTGGGATGTGCAGGGCCCAATCCTGTCCTTGGGTGCACACCAGGCTCACAATGAAGTCCCTGAGAAGCCTGCACCACATGTCAAAGTAGAATTTGGCCCACTCTGTGCGCACAAATACTGAAGCGGAGGCCGATCGTGCAGTTCTTATTCGGGCAGAACTCCCTTAAGAGTCAGTGGAAGTCTTACTCAGGTAAGAATCGCAGACCAGCCCTTGCTTGACTAAGCAGGAATAAACAGACTAAAGTTAGCGGTAACAACATTTTGGTACTAGGCTATGACAAGCACTTACATGGCCAGGCAGTAGGACAGAGAGGGAGTAAGGAGCCTTTCCTCCCCCAGGACAGGGCACAAAAGGGCTGGGCAGAATTGCAACCATTTGCCTGGAGACCACAGGAACAACTCACCAAGAGTTGGCTGGCTGTGATGGGGAGAAGGAACATGATGCATCCCTAAGAGGGAAGTCACAGACTGCACTTCCCCCTGGACAGAGGGGGGCAGGGCCGGTGCAGGGAAGTTTCGCACCCTAGGCAAAACTTCCACCTTGCGCCCCACCCCGCCAAGCCCTGCGGCAGCTCCCCACCCCCACTCCACCCTGAGGCACCCCCCCCTGTGGCACCTCCCCCCCGGGGACGCTGTGCAGCACCTCCCCACCCCAGCTCACCTCTGCTCCGCCTCCTCACCGAGCACGCCGCCCCCGCTCTTAATTCTCCTCCCAGGCTTGCGGCGCCAAACAGCTGATTGGCGCTGCAAGCCTGGGAGGCGGGAGAAGTGGAGCAGCAACTGTGCGCTCGGGGAGGAACGCTGCTAAATAAACAAATAAATAAATAATTGGGGGCACTGCTTTTTGGCAATCCCAAATCTTGGC